CCAATTTGGTGTTCATATTAAAATTCTTCGCTCCGATAATGCCAAAGAGTACACCTCAATACCATTTCAGTAATACTTAGAGCACCATAGGATAATTCATCAAACTTCTTGTGCCTACACCCCACAACAGAACGGTGTAGTTGAACGGAAAAATCGACTTTCTCCTTGAAACTGCTCGGTCTTTGATGCTTAATATGAATGTCCCAAAGCATTTTTGGAGTGATGCCGTCCTCACATCCTTTTTTCTCATCAATAGGATGCCCATGTCCATCCTTGGAAGTCAATCCCCCTTCTAGGTGTTGTTTCCCACCTTGTCTCTGTTTCCTCTCACCCCAAGAGTCTTTAGATGTGTTTGTTTTGTTCAAAACTTGGGACCTGGTTTAGACAAGTTAGATGCACGAGCTACTAAGTGTATTTTCCTTGACTACTCAAGGACTCAGAAAGGGTATAAGTGCTATAACCCTAACTTCCATAAGTCATTTGTGTGCTCCGATGTCACGTTCTTTCAATCGGTTCCTTTTTTCTCGGATATTGTGGTTTCTTCTCCTTTCCCTGTAGTTCCTCTTCCCGTCCCTATTGTGGATCCTCTTCCCATGGTTCCCATTTCAGTTAAAGATTCACCTCACATGCCAGTTACTACTGAGAGGCCACCAATCAGACAAGTGTATACTCACAGAAGAGCATCGGCCCCTTCTCCAATTCGGCCCTCGTCGACAGATCCTAGCATTGCTTCTTCTCCCTTGTACCTTGATCTTCCTATTGCCCTGCGGAAAGGTAAACGCACTTGTACTTCTCATCCTATTTGACACTATGTTTCAGCTGCTAACCTTTCTTCTTCTCATCGCAACTTCATGTCATTGCTATCATTTGTTTCCATTCCCAAGACTATCCAGGAAGCCCTTACCTCCCCAGGGTGGCAGAAAGCAATGGAAGAGGAACTATCTGCTCTACAACACAATCACACGTGGGAACTCACTGCTCCTCCTCCTGGTAAGCATTTTGCTGGGTGTAAGTGGGTCTACACAGTGAAGTATCTTCCAGATGGCAGTGTGGAGCGATTGAAGGCTAGGTTAATAGCCAAGGGCTATTCTCAGCTGTATGGTGTGGACTATATGAAGACATTTTCTCCTGTGGCTAAAATTGGTTTAGTTTGGGTGTTGATTTCATTAGCTGCTATGTATGATTGGCCTCTTGTGCAACTTGACATAAAAAATGCTTTCCTACATGGTGATCTCATTGAGGAAGTGTATATGGAGCAGCTGCCAAGGTTTGTTGCTCAGGGGGAGGATGGTAAGGTTTGTAGACTCAAAAAGACAATTTATGGACTAAAACAATCTCCACACGCATGGTTTGGCAGGTTCAATGAAGTAGTGAAAGACTTTGGGATGAAACAGTGTCAGGTAGACTATTCTGTGTTCATCCATGACTCAAACGATGGGAAAATCTTACTAGTGGTGTATGTGGATGATATTGTCATAACTGGGAGTGACAGTAATGGAATTGACAGGTTGAAGAAATTCCTACAGGACAACTTCAATACGAAAGATTTAGGTAAGCTGAAGTACTTCCTGGGAATAGAAGTTGCAAGGTCAAGGCATGGAATTAACTTATGTCAAAGAAAATATGTTCTTGACCTACTTGAAGAAATATGACTATTAGGTGCTAAACCAGCAAAGACTCCTATGGAACTTAATGTCAAGTTGAGTGTTGATGCAGGAGAAGAGTTTGATGATCCTGTAAGATATAAGAGGTTGGTGGGAAAATTGAATTATTTGACTATTACCCGACCAGATATATCATTTGTTGTAAGTACGGTGAGTCAGTTTATGCAACATCCTCGGATTCCTCACTGGGAAGCATTTCTAAGGATTGTTAAGTACCTGAAGGGTGCTCCAGGTCGTGGTTCTATATCAGACAGAAGATCAACTACAAGGTATTGTACCTTCCTTGGTGGCAATCTTGTAACTTGGAAGAGCAAGAAACAAATAGTGGTAGCAAGGAGTAGTGCAGAAGCTGAGTACAGAGTTATGGCTCATACAACATGTGAACCAGTATGGTTGAAGAACTTGCTACAAGAGATGGGGTTCTTGATTGACAAACCCATGAGACTATACTGTGATAACTAAGCTACTGTTCACATCTCTTCCAACCCAATCTTCCATGAGAGAACCAAGCATATTGAGGTCGATTGTCACTTTGTGAGAGAGAAAGTGATGAGTGGAGTGATAACCACATCTCATCTGAGCTCAGGAAATCAGTGGGCAGATTTCTTTACAAAGTGTTTGTCTCGGGGCAGAGTAGATTATATTTGTGACAAGCTGGGACTACATGACATATACTCTCCAGCTTGAGGGGGAGTGTTAGAGTACACAAAACAGGGGTGTTTTGGTCATTTGGGTTTATCTATTTAAGAGTGAAAGGTCTGTTTTATTCAAGTTTAAGTTATGTGTCCCATCATTTATGAGGGACAATATGGTCTTTCTTGTAACTATGTTATTGGAGATAAATACAAGTGGGTCGGCTAGAGAGTGAATTGATTTTTTCCTCTATTGGCTGAATCCTTCTTCTTCTTCTTCTTCTTCTCTACTGCAACCTAGGACTAAATAAGGTTTTCACATAACTGATTGAAAGAAACATTTAACAAAGATAACCTAGAAGAAACATCCCATAACCAGCTGGGAATAGGACCTGAAATACTAACATTTGATATAAATACATGACTCTACTTTGGGTTTCAAGCCAAGCTGGAAAAAGGGGGCCCAACTGGCAAGATCCCATATCAAGATTCTGAACTTGAAATGGGGGGGCCCAGCTGGAGCTGATATTCAAAACTAAGGAGTTGGAAGTCATATGTAAGAACTTCAATTTACTTTACTTTGAGAAATGAGCTTCAGAGACAAGTCCTGTCAGTTGATTGGAGGATACATCCAAACTAACCAAATTGGAAAGCTGTCCTAAAGTATCAGGTAGACTTCCATTCAGCTCATTCCCTCCAAGCCCCAAATCTTCTAGGAGAGGCAATCTCCCCAAGGTCGTAAGAATGGGACCTTTAAATAAGTTATATTCCAATCTCAGTTCTACAAGATTCACCAGCTGACCCAGCCATTCAGGTAAATTCCCAATCAAGTGGTTATTGCTCAATCTCAGGTGTATCAAATTTGCTAAGGGGCTCCGAGACATGCAATTTTCTGTTCCCTCAAGAAAATTCGGTAAGCTCTTGCTCAAGTTATTACTGGATAAATCCAAAATTTGCAAGTTGCACAGTTTACTGATGGAGCTTGGGATCCCTCCCTCAACAGTATTGTCAAATAAATCAAAGATGACCAGAGACGTCATATTTCCAATGGAGGCAGGGAGCTTCCCATGCACTCTATTTGAAGCTAAGTTCAGAACCTCAATTTTTCTCCAACTTCCCCTGAGAAGTTGTGTAAAACTAACAGAAAGATTATTGTTTCCAGAAAGATCCAAATATTACAAATTTGGAAGCTCAGAAATACCAAGGGGAATCTTTCCATTCAAACCTGCATTACTCATATCCAATGACAAAAGGCTGCTCACATTCACAATCCAATCAGGAAATTTTGAATCAAAGTTATTAAAACTGAGATCAATAACAGTGAGTGAAGTAAAATTTACAGATTGCAGAGATGGAATGGGGCTAAATATGCCACAACCTGATAAATGCAACTCATTCAACAGTGGAAGGTTATTTAGCACCTGAACCCAATCAGACCATACCGGGGAGAGGTCCACCCCATTCAATGCAAGGTTTCTCAGAAGACCAAGACCGGCTACCCATTTAATATCATCAACAGCCAAAGCAGAGAATCTAGAAGAGATAATGCAAACTAGACAGATTGCCCAAGTTAGGAGGAATTTTTCCAGTGAACCCAGCATCAGACAAGTTTAAGTAGCGTAATCTCTTCAGAGAACCAATGAAGTTAGGAATTGGGATGCCTTGGAATGTATTGAGACTCAAGTCTAAGTAACTCAAGGACTTGAGCCTCAACAAAGCAGGATCAATCTGCCCACTTAAGTTCCAGAACCCATACCTGCTAGGAGAATCAAAGTTGTATGGATGTGGGTTGTGGAGATCAATTGCAATTACAGCTCCAGTGCTAGTCACAACTCACCCCCCTCCACTGGCAACAATCGTTTCCATTCCATGGGGAGAGCCGATTTTCAGGATCTCTCAAGCCATTTCTGAAGTCAACAAGTGCTTTCCTATCAGATTCTGAGCATGGAGTATCAGCGTTGCAAACAAGCTTTCTTGACAACAAACACAGAATTAACAAAATCTGGCCAAAAGCAGAAAACATTCCCATTACTTCAACAACCCTAGCTGACAGTCTGCGAATTAGTGTCAACCATGGTAGTTGATATTTCCAGATTTCCTTTCTGTTTCTTGAGTCACAAGAAACTTTGCCATTGTATTAAGAAGATTTGAGGGCATAACAGTTTGTCTTCATGAACAGAAAAAGATAGTATAGATAAGAATCCAGTTTTCATAAGTCAAAAAAAGCAGATATGAACTTATCTCTTTGAAGCTTGAAACAAATTTTATATTCATGAAAGCAATTTTGTATTCCCAAAGTTGGTGAATTATGGTTTAGACAAATAACATTCCAATTCAAACGGCTTTGAATATCAAGACTCAAGTTTAAAAGGAGAAAAAGCTCCTTTTGATAGTAAATAATATAACCACGTCATCCATGTTATCAGAGTACGGTTTCTAACAAAATGTGAAACGTGGCATTATTATCCACCGACAAAAGGTGCCAGTTAATTTTTGAGAGTGAAAGTTAAGCAAATCAACCTGCCACGCGGCGTTGGGAAGTTGGATCCCATACACAAGGATCCGAATCCAACAGTGCAGATGTCAGTACCGCATTTTCAAGCCGTAAGAGATAAACGGCCACATTGGCGCCCCATAAAGCGCGCCCTATTTGGAGATATTCACAGTACACGGTTGGGATGTGCTGGGGCGCAGATGCGAAGGGAACGACTGACAACTGACACTGACAGAGTGCGTTTCTGCCACGCTTCAGGATTCGGTCTCCGCCGTCGGCCGTATTAACATCTTACACATTCTATGCATTCATACTCATCGTGAATCGGCATGAATTTCGAACTGACATCAATTCTGACCCTGAGCTTATCGATCATTCTCCCTAAACATCAATTCTGATCCTGAGGTTATCGATCATTCTCCCTAAATAAATATCGGAGTCAGGCGTCAAGAATCAAGCATCAAAGAAAATGAGTGGTGCCGGCAAGCTCGTCTGTGTCACCGGAGCTTCTGGTTACATTGCTTCATGGCTGGTGAAGCTCTTGCTTCAGCGAGGATACACCGTCAAAGCTTCAGTTCGCGACCGAAGTCAGTAATAGCCACTCTTACCATCTATTATTCATGTTTCTGCATCAGAGATTCTATTGGTTTCCACTTTGGGGTTCTTTTGTTTTTGTTTGTAAATTCGTTAGGCCCTGAACTAGTTTTACTTCATCTTCTACTTCAATTATGGACAAGAACATCGGCATACCCATTTTAGGATTATTACGCTATTTACTTATTTGTTTGTGGGAGAGGGGAGTGGTACCCAGTTGAGGAACTTGCCTTATTGGCTCGGATTTCTTCTCTATCGGTTGCTCCGGTAAGTAAGGAGTACCGACGGTTGCAGGGGATTAAATAGAAAGGGCAAGTTTGTCCAGTTCATTTGGATCAAAATTCCAAATACCCAGTTTGGGATTTAGTTATAATGATTATGAAATTTTATTAAATTCATTCTGTGGAAGTTCTGAGGAATGACATACTGATAACATGCCTTCTAGTAACTTTACTGCTTTTAATATGTGACTTGAAGACTTGTGGAACATTAAATGTTATGGAGGTCGTTAATGTAACAGCAAGTCAGTAACAGACTGAGGGTGCTGGTCTTTTTTTTTTCTGTACTCTTCTTACAGATGATCCAAAAAAGACTGCACACTTACGTGCTCTTGTTGGAGCAAAGGAAAGACTTCATTTGTTCAAAGCAAATTTATTGGAGGAAGGATCTTTTGATTCTGTGGTTGAAGAATGTGAAGCTGTTTTCCATACAGCATCTCCTTTTTATCATAATGTCACAGATCCACAGGTTTTTTCCAATACTAATTCTGCCATACTAGCTGTAGTTGTTTGTTTCACTTTATTAATTTGATTAGGCATTAATGTTCTGAACCTGCTTTGTTTATTACCCTTTGTTATTTTAATTATTAATCTTTCATCTTCGTAATGAGATTTGTTTACAGTTCCCTGCTAGACTTTCTAGACTTTTCTTTGGTTGTCCCCTCATTTGGCATTTTTGTGCATAAATAAAATGGATCTTTTTTTATTTGTAACAATGAGACTTCATAGATCTAAATTAAAGAATGATATTTTTTGAGAGAAGGTAAAGTATAAATGTATTAATATGAACAAAATACAGCAAGATGCTATACTCGGGGGCCCTAAAAATCTGTCCCCTCTGACCTCGACCCCCCACCCTTTACAAAAAGATTGTCATTTACAAAAAAGGAATCAAAACCTACTCCCTTAAACAACCTATGACCAGCCAACCATGAATACATCTTTCCCAAAATTTTCTGAAAAAAGCATCAGCGGAACTAGACTTGTTTTTGAGGACCCTTGCATTCCTCTCTGGCCAAAGACACCAAAATGCCACTGCTGGGGTAATATTCCAAATCATCTTTCCTCTTATGCTCAGCCCTTCCACCCTCCAGCCTCTAACAAACCCCTCAATTGATCCTGGGCAACGATTTTGAACTTCAAATAAACCTGAAACTCTATTCCAAATCCCACTAGAGAAAATACAATGCAGAAAAAGATGATCTACTGTTTCCCACTATCCTTCACACACACAACAGTCTGAATCTAACACAAATCCTTTCTGTGCCAGGTTGTCCCTTGTGAGTATTCTTTAAGGTAGGAGGACTATACAAAGAAAGAAATTTTTGAAGCACAGTTTTACTCCAAATGATGTGAGCTAGGACTGGTTGTCCTTTTGCATTGTCCAATACCTTATAAAAGGACTTAACTGTGAAAACTCCAGATTTCTCCCACTTCTAAACTCTTCTGTCAGACCTGCCAGCCTCCACCTGTATGTTATACAACTGCTGTAGTAACCCCATCCACTCATCCACTTCCCAATCATTTAAATTCCTTCTGAATTGTGTAGCCCAGACCACGTAACCATCTTGGATCTGCAAGTAATCAGCAAATTTGACTTCCTTATCCATTGCAATTTCAAACAGGGCTGCAAAACTCTCAGCCAAGGATCTCTCTCCACACCAAACATCTTTCCAGAATTTGATGCACTCCCCATTTCCTATTTTGAATTTCACTCCTGCAAACATGTTATATGCCTTTACAATTCCTTTCCAAGCTGAGCACCCATAGGATTGGTTTGAAGCCCCCAAATCCCACCTTAAATTCCTTTTAGCATATTTGGCTCGCACCACTTTTTTATACAGGTATCTTATTTTATTTTATTACCTTATTGAATAATTTAGTCAGCCATTATAACCCTACCTCTCTCATATATTTTCCCAGTTCTATTGGAATCTCATCAGGTTCAAATGCCTTTCTCTTCATCTTATTTAGTGCCTCCCTAAGTAATTATAGTTTTACGAAGGTGCATATTATTTTTAACACTATTAAAATTAGAGTTGCTAATCTCTCCCCCATTAGCTCCCTATACATGTTCATTTAATATTTTTTCAAACTAATTTTTCCACATTTCTTTGATTTCCTCATCTATTACCAAGACTCTTTGATCTTTCTCTTTAGTGCACCTGACATGGTTTAAATCTTTGCCTTTCCTTTCTCTCATCTTTGTTAGTTTATAAATCACATTTTCTTTCTCCTTCTTTAGTACCTAATTTATGATAAATCTCATCATATGCCTTAGATTTAACTTCTTACTTTCTTTGTTAACAAAGTGGTATTCTATAAAATCTCAAATCCCCCTCCAATGGTGCTAACGATATTTTGATTGATGCTTATATGGACTTTCTATTTTAAGTTTGTATAATTTTACTTGTTCATTGTTGTGCCATGATGCCTTTCTTTTGTTTATGTAAAATAAATGAGTGTTCCGTCTCTGTTTCATTCTGTGTTTCAGGCTGAATTAATTGACCCTGCAGTAAAGGGAACTCTTAACGTTCTTGGTTCCTGCAAAAAAGCTTCATCTGTTAAAAGGGTGGTTGTAACATCATCAATGGCTGCAGTTGCATACAATAGAAAACCTAGAAATCCTGACGTGGTTGTTGATGAAACTTGGTTTTCTGATCCAGAATTTTGTAAGGAGACAAATGTGTGTAAATATTCTCCCTTCATTTTGATCTTTTCTTTAGTATCTGATCACTTTTTTTTTTTTTTTAAGGAGATAAGAACTTGATTGCACCATGATTAATTGTTTTACACTTTTCTTTTTTGATAGCTAGTCTTGCACACTTTCAGGTCACCAAATTATTACCAGTGAAAGTACAATTGTCAAATGTTGAACACCTTCATCAACAGACTTAGCCCAATCAACATCACTATAAACTTCAACCTAATATGCCCATGAACCATGATTAACATACAATATCCCTTTACCAAAGGTAGCTTTCTAGTTTCAAAAACAACAAGGTTCTCACTTTCTTCAACATGAGGGATTTATATGGCTAGTGCATGAATTAGTAGCTGAATGTGCTAGCAACCTATGATATGTTCAGTCAAGTCACATAGATATAGAACTTTTAATAAGCCTCTGATAATGTCCTTGTATTCAATAAGTTCCCCTTCACTAGCATCCACTTTGTAATTGGGATCTTATAGAGTACGCACTGGTTTAACTTTGGACTTGGTAGTTTCCTTCAATAAATATAGGGCATATTTCCGTTTTTGATCGGTAATTAGTAATCTTATTGGTGCTATCAAACTATACAGTAGGGGTTTTTAAGAAATGTACAGTTTCTATAATACATTGAAGTTGGCCTAAGTTACTCCCCCTATCCAATAAGAGCCCCACAAGGTTAACAATTCATAAACAATTTGTTTACCCCAGTGAATATTTTCCCCTCATTGTAGCCTCTCCAGTAACAGCCTCTTTGGTTAATGAGTTAGCAAGGGAATTGGCTGACTGAGGGGTCTAAAAGAATTATCTTGTGTGGCCAAGGTCCTAGCCTTTCCCCTCTTACCAGAAGATAGTAGTCTTGGAATCTTCTATAATGAGGCTTTGAAAACCTGCATATAATATTGTTTCACTTTAATAAATCTTTGATGCTTGAAAAAACAGAATATCATATTAATTTGTTGAGGTTTCCATTTATGTTAGTGAGGTAGATTGAAGGCAACTTTCTTCTTTAAAAACATTAACATATCCATGAGAATTTTATTAATCAGAGAATGAAGATGAATCTGTACAATAAATAGCAGCATTCTGTAACTGGTATCTGGATTATGCACCATTAAAAGACCTTCAGCTCCCCTAACCCTTCTTACCTCATACCTTGTCCCTTAACCTACCCCTCTAGGGCAGGCCCCAAATAGAACTCCACCCAATCCACACCTTTCCTTGCAAGTGAATCAATAGGTACATTAGTCTCCTGATAACTCAATAAGATATTCAAGTTGCAGGCCAGAAACCTATCTTCTTGAATGGTGTCTGAATTCCAAGGATGTATCTGGCCTACCTTATCAACTGTGATATCTCCTACCACCTCCAGTTTAGAAGGTTGTAGGCCAGAAGCAGCTTTTGCTTGGTCTTATTGTTGTAGGTTGTGATTGATGGGTTCATTCGGGTTGTTTGTTGGACAAGTTGTTCAGGCTCTGCTTTAATTAGAAAGGTTTCTTGATTGCCCAGATAAAAATCCCAGGAACATGCAATGTCAGCATGATTTAAGCAAGTTGTGGCCAATTTACAGGCATGATATGGGTTTTCTGATGGAATGATCTTATTTATGACAATATGGTGAGCAAAGAAATGCTAATCATAGAGGGAGTTGGTGGTGATAATGTGAAGGAGGGGGAGAGAAAGTAGAGAAGGCATTGGCATCAGAGAGGGGAGAGAATGGTTCTGGGAGTTTGAAGCTAACAAAGGTCCTAATGTAGTTAGGCACTTTAAAAGTCAAAAGAATCAGCATCAGATTCAGATTTCAAAGGTATTCACCAGGCTGAAAGGGGGCTTCTCAACTGTGGGGATATTCTCTTGGTGTAATTTGGGGTTTTGGGGCTTTTGGAGTTTAGGTAGGGCATGTGTATTTTATCTGTTTGTGTCAAGGACGGGGTAATGTTGTAAGGGTAGGGTGGATGAAAGGCCTGAATTTGTATTGGTGAGTGGTAGTAACTAGTAAGTTGGTGCCTGCCTAGGGTTGATTTTGTGGGGTTGTCATCTCTCTCAGATGTTTTCTTTTTTGGTACAATCTCTCTAATCACTTTTCTTTGTAACTTCTTTTTTCTTTTAATAAATTTTATTTTTACCTTAAAAAATGTTTTGGGTTGTAATCTTTATTAGGATTTATTTTGTTATTTGATTTTATTTGAGTTGTACAATTGTACTAATGTTTTGATTGATTTTTAACCAAAATTTTTTAAGTTAGTATATCACTTTTACATACAAAAAGGTTGAGCTTCTGGAATCATCATATGTTGATAAATGTGTCTACACTTGTTTTTATCCCTCTTGTTTCTGGGTTCCAATAGCACTTATTTAACAGAATTCCACTATATCTTCTCTGAAATGCTACTTCATAAATTTCTTGGCTTTTCTTAGGCTTGGTATTTACTTTCAAAGACCTTGGCTGAGGCTGCAGCCTGGAAATTTGCAAAAGAAAATGGGATTGACATGGTTACAATAAATCCAGCAATGGTCATTGGCCCTCTTTTACAGCCAACACTTAATACAAGTGCAGAAGCAATTCTGAAATTAGTTAATGGTAAGCTCACTCCCTTACATTCTTCATCTTAATATGCAAATATACTCCAACAGCCCTAAACAAGTGCAAAATACAACAATTAAATTGCCWAAAATTGCTGCCTAGGAAAACAGACGTGAACAAGAATGGTTTTGTTCTGATCAATTGGAGCTTCTCATGAAATTTATAACTTGTATAACATAATAATTTTTTCATCTTGACCATTTCTTTTTCTTCATATTCAATTTGATTCTAATGCGACTGCCAGTATCAAAGCAGTGTAGAAATCATTCCTTACCCCTGTTTTTCTTTTTTTTTTTCTGGCACCCCGGTTTTTCTTCATTCACTGGCTTCCAAGATCAGTCAATTTTTTAGCAAATAGTTTCACAAGAATGGTTTTCTCAAGGAGGGTGCTATTTTGGCACATATCATTACCAACTCGATGGTTTCTTCTGTATATTTTGTTTGAGAGACCCCATTTACACCATTGAGCAGCCACCTATTCTCCTTTTTGTGTTAATTCTTGGGGCTTTGTGGTTTACATTGTAACCCACACCTGCATACATTTGTACAATGTGTTTAAAATATATTTTCTTTGGCTGCTCAAAGAACATTTTTTTTCACTTTTACAATTCAGATCCATACCGTGATTTAGCCCAAAATAATTTTTCTTTATAGGTAACTTCCCTGACCTGAAGTATGTTTTGACATTCCCTTGATGCCAGTATACCACTGAACAAGAATCTAAAAAAGAAAATCACTTTCAACAATGACACCCTTAGAAGCTAGAAAGGCTTATAATTGACCTGTAGAATATTTTCTACACACATACAATCAAACATTTTGTAAAATATTGGAACACAACTTTGCATGTTTTTATTTCCCCTTTCATTCCAATTTCAAGAAATTCCCCTCCCACCCTGAGCCCCTACTTTCTCTAATGGGTAAGAGAAGTAAATACTAAATAATTCATTAAAATGCCTTTGCTTCTGGTTACATTATTATTGTTCCCGAAATTTTGTACATTGCAGGTACAAATACATATCCCAATGCAACACTTGGATGGGTTAATGTTAAAGATGTTGCGAATGCTCATATTCAGGCATTTGAGATTCCTTCAGCCAGTGGAAGATATTGCTTAGTTGAGAGTGTTGTTCATTATTCAGGGGTTGTGAAGATTCTACATGAGCTTTTCCCTTCTTTCCACCTCCCTAACAAGTAAGTTTCAAAGGAGATATATCAAACATTATTTTTATTATGATCCTTGACCAAGTTAGGAAATCAAGAATCTCATGTTGTGATGGAGAAAATAGATATGCATCTCCTTTCTATATTAGGGATGAGCATTTGGTCTATTTAGTTAAAAACCAAACAGGATGAACCAAAACCAAATTAAACGAACGCCTAAGAGGGAAAACCAAAACGAAAACCAAATAAGCTAAAACCAAAATTTTTTGTTCGATTTTTTTTACCCCTAGTTCATATGGCGGCTTTATAATTGCTTTCAAGAGATTTCATTCATCAACATAGGAAGGGGGATTGAGCATCCCTATCCCCTTTTTGTTCACTTCAGTCAGGATATAATGCTTAACAAGCTTTCTTAGCAAGACAATTACTTCAGTGAATTTTGATTTAGGATAGCATAAGTTAAAGACCTTCTGCAGTCAGCAGTTTCTAAAGCTTTTTTTCTGCTATCGCCATTGTGCATAAAGCACAAATTCTTGGTAATAAATGATATACAAGACTTAGATGGCATCTCCTCCAAGCCTATGTTACTTGGGTTTGGTTGTGGATGTTGGGTGTAGGTATAAGTCTAGGGATTAAATCCTTTTTTCTTCAAAATTGGACTAAAGATTGATCCACCAATTGGTACAATACGTGGACACATACATTGGAGAAATAATGCCTGACTCAAGAAACCTATATTCAATATTTTATATGCACTTTAGGGTGGAAAAGATTATTTTATATGCACTTCATTATTGATTTAAGAAAATCAATAACTTGTCAGATGATAACTATAATATGAAACATAGTTCTGTATTGGCATTCCTTTCTTGCTCGGTGCAATGATACATCTTAGACTGTGACGCTAGAGATATGTGGGTTTGGGACTAAGAGCGGCCACTTTGTGATAAAATGCCAAAGATTAAGTCCATATCCAGTCCACCCCTCTCAATAATGATTGGGACCAGCATTGGGTAATGGCCTTTTATATCTCCAATCTTAGACTTCTGATTAAAAATTTGTGTTAGGTGCATGGCCAATTAGGGGTACTTGCTAGGTGTAATGGTAAAATCATAGGCTGACAGGCATGAGAAGATGGATTTGAGCCTGAAAGGGGCCAGTTTGTGCAAAAAAATAATGTCGAAGGTTAGGTATCCATTCATCCTACCCCTCCCAAGTCCCTGGACAACCAATCATTGAAACTTTAACCAACCAATATGAACGAGTTATTATTTGATAAAAAAAGCATACATGAATTTGATGGATCTGACACTTCCCAAACCCAGACATTGTCATGGTATGTCATGTCTGGCACACATACTTTTGGTAAACTGAAGAGGCTTGCTATCTCATGGACAAGAACACTTCTTCAAGGTAAAAGTGACATGTTTTCCTTTTTGTTAAGTCATTTTTAACTCTTCCCTTATTCAGATTTATGGTGAAATCACCTTTTTTTTGGGGAAATGTGTCTAATTGTACATGGTTCCTTGACAAAAGGCGCTTCATTCTTGGCAGGTGTGCAGATGATAAGCCTCACGTGCCAACATACCAAGTAAGCAAGGAGAAAGCAAAAAGCTTGGGCATCGATTTTATTCCCTTCAAGGAGAGCCTTAAGGAAACAGTTGAAAGCTTGAAAGAGAAAAACTTTTTCAGTTTCTAAATCTTAGTAGCTGCAAATGATGCAATCAAACAAATGAAGGTTCATTATCTCCAAGTGCTCTTAAATTTGTCCATGGGTAATATTTACAGCGACACAGTGAACTTATTATAATGTGTATTTGCATCAACTATTATTGATATATAAATACAAGACTATGACCCTAAAGCTACGTGCAGCAGTTGGTGGTATCCTGAAAGAGCAGGAAACTGAACATTTGAATGACACTTCAATGCCGTGATGATCATGCATTAACTTGATGCAGATTTCACTTATTTATATCACCCCAAAGCTTGGAGAATTACGGTTCTAGGAATAAGCTTTCATGGAGATCCAACATCCGGTTAGTTGCAATCACTTGGGCTATATTTGGTTTGGTAGAAAATAAGAGAAACAGAAAGTTAAAGGAATTTCATAAAATTTTCTAAGACCCCCCCCCCCCCTTCAACTTTCTACTCTCTCATTTTTTCTATCAAATCCTTGATTTCTTCCTGAAGAATCTTTGAGAGTTGATAGGTTAGCTGTGACTTTTGGGGGGGTTGGTACTGTTATTTTTTTTTTCCGTGACCCTTGTCTTCTGCTGAAGCTCTTCTTCCCTGTTCCTTCTGACTATACAAAATGTAGGCAAGTGTAATTTGCATTATATACATTGTTGAATCTTTCAACTGATATCAATGGCTTTTACCTGGCAACTGGATTCCTTAGTTCAGCTCCTCTGGGCTTCCATATTCCTCACAATGTCATGACTCATTGGGGGTCTAAAATGAGTACCCGATTTCAAGAATTTAGGCTGCATCAAGTCCAGGCTCTCAGGTCAGGACATTCAAATTTTAACAAATGCTCTACCCAAAACTTGCCCAAGTTGCACCTTAATCAGTACATGTGGTGCACGTATAGCCAAACTGTTCCAATATGTTTGATTGAAATATTATGTTTCTGCTGGTAAATGATTATGCAAAATAGATGAAGTTTAGGATAATTGAAAACCTGGGGCTCAAGTTTTGCAGATGCCCTGTTCAGAACACAAGCATCCATATCAATGGTTCTGATCAACCACTATAGTCTGGCATTTGGCTGTGTCATACCATAGGTGACCTACTCATTGCTAATTTGCTATTTGTATATAAACCAGTGGTTAGGGCCAGGATAATAAGTTGTTTGATAACAGCTGAAATGGCTGAATTAAATGGCTTATTGCTTTGAATAAATCAATACGAATGGCTGAATAGCACGTTTGGTGGATTACTGTACCCTTAAATATTTGACCATGTAATTATTTATCCACTCACTAGTCACTAGTTGGGATAAAGCTTTGAAGATGATAATGATGATGATGATGTATGCTCTCATACCACATGTGACATTCATTGCTATTTGCATATACACCAGGTTATGGGTAGAGGTAACAAGGGATCATTTGGTAACAGCTGAAATGGATGAATTAAATGACTTATTGCTTTGAATAAATCAACAACAATGTTGTAAGCTCCTTTCCCTTAATGGCCGAATAGCATGTTGGGTGGATTACTTATCCACTAGTTGGGATTAGGCTGATGATGATGATGATGAATTATTGACTAGAGTTGTGCCTGTTTGGGAGGCTGAAGAGAAGCTTCTAGCTTTCCAAGATGGACTTTAACATAGACATCTTATAAGCTATATTTGGTGGAAAATTTGGAGAGCCCTAATCAGATGTCAATCAGTCATTTGAAAAGCTGTACGCTTCCGCCTCTTTGAATAGCTAAGTAGAGTGCCTTCAAGATCAACTGAATCTTCAAACGGGCATTGAAGAGACAAAGATGACAGCTGAATTGGCTGAATGGAAACTGAAATTGGAATGACTACCATACCCTCAAACATTTTATTTATTATTTAATTATTTTATCTAAACGAAGCAATAAATCAAAAGGCTAGTCTCGTTCTTTTGTAATCTCACGAGCTCATGGCCACAGGGACAGCAGCAATTGTTCTTTATATAGTAGAAAGAATCCCAAATGTGAGAAACTGAGTTTAAAAAGCAAACAATACTTAATTGCAATCCTATTTGCGTCCAGTCCACCTAGTTGTGTGCAAATAGCGACGTGTCAAATTACAAGAGGACAAAACATAAACAAGGATCTTTCTTTCTTGGGCAAATACAAGGCTGTTTGTATTGTCCTTTCGTGATTGGGCCTGGCCGGCTGGGTTCCCCGTGGTGCCCAGGCCCATGACGCTACCATCCATGATCCAACTCAACTCCTTTCCGATTTGGGAGGTGAGTCATGATTCATGAGTGTACATCACAGAATACGGAATGTTCATTGCTCAATCGCGTGGTGGAAACTGGAATCCGTTACCCAGTACCACTTTTAGACCCGATAAACTGAACCGATTTCTGCCTATAATCGGATTCTTGCCCGTCCTTTAATCGGATTACATCAGCCCCCGCAGCCGCAGGCCCCGACAAATCATTCGTTCACGTTTGCAGCAGTCAGGCGTCAGCACCAGCTCGACTTGATTCTCTCTTCTACTCCATCTTTAAAGCCCTAACCCTACGTCACTCTCACTCATTCGCAGTTCGCACACTGAAACCTCTTTCACAGCGTCTCATCCATCAATGGTGATCTGCAACTATTCTCACTTCAAATCCATCTCCATCACTCCTTCAACCAACCGTTGCAGATACGATACCTCCACCCCCCGCGTCCCAACTTTCAGATGTAACAGTACCCTGAACTCAACTCAGCTGAGAGCCGAACCAGAACCGGTCTTCACCTCCGTCAAATCATTTGCACCCGCGACCATCGCAAACCTCGGCCCTGGCTTTGATTTCCTCGGGTGCGCCGTCGACGGACTCGGCGATTTCGTCAACTTGCGCGTCGATCCAGATGTTTGCCCCGGCGAAATCTCAATCTCCGACATCCATGGCACCGGAACTAGCGTCAAGAAGCTCAGCAAGAACCCCCTCTGGAACTGCGCCGGAATCGCCGCCATCTCCGTAATGAGAAGGCTCGGAATCCGATCCGTCGGTCTCTCACTCTCCCTCGAAAAAGGACTACCCCTAGGAAGTGGCCTGGGATCGAGCGCCGCAAGTGCCGCCGCCGCCGCCGTAGCCGTTAACGAGATTTTTGGCGGGAAACTGCCGGTGTCAGAGCTCGTCCTCGCTGGGCTTGACTCAGAGCAGAAGGTCTCCGGTTATCACGCTGATAACGTAGCACCGGCGATTATGGGAGGGTTTGTGCTGATTCGCAGCTACGAACCACTGGACATAATCCGGTTGACATTTCCGACGGAAAAGGAGCTATATTTCGTTCTGGTAAGCCCGGAATTTGAAGCTCCGACGAAGAAGATGCGAGCGGTGTTGCCAAAGGAGATCCAAATGTCGGATCATGTATGGAATTGCAGCAAAGCAGGGGCGCTGGTGGCGTCGGTGTTGCAGGGGGACTTGAGGGGACTGGGCTCGGCATTGTCGTCGGACAAGATTGTGGAGCCAAAGCGGGCGCCGCTAATTCCTGGAATGGAAGCGGTGAAGAGGGCAGCAATGGAGGCTGGGGCGTTTGGATGCACGATTAGTGGGGCCGGGCCTACTGCGGTGGCGGTGGCGAACGATGAAGAGAGGGGGAGGGAGATTGGGCATCGAATGGTGGATGCTTTCATGAATGACGGAAATTTGAAGGCTTCTGCTGTGGTGAGCAAACTGGACCGAGTTGGTGCCAGGGTTATCAGTAGCAGCTCCAGATGAGAACAGAGGTTTGTTAATCTCCTTCTTCGCTTGTAAGTTGTAAGAGGTGAGTGAAGGGAGGTGAAGATTCTGTTTTGGATTTTGGATTCTGTGAAAACCATAAACGCTATACAAAGAGAAGTAAACCGATTTGTTTCTGGAATTTCTTTCAGTTGGTTAACTTCTTTCTTGTTGCTTAAATGGAATTTCTTGAGTTGGTTAAAACATTAAAAAACCTGAGATGGAATTTGGCAGTTTCAAACAGTAAAAATTCCCTAACACCATGAAAGAGAGGTCAAACCCATCTTTCACAGTATTTCTATCCTGCTAATGGTGGCATCTGACTTCGAGACTTTCATGAAACTGTAGAATCAATCAATCAATTGTCTGATAATTAAGAAAACTTGGCATTTCAAATTCCTACTTATAGCTCTGCCAAGAAGAGATTATTCATATAAACACACCAATTTGAAGGGCTTCTTCGGGACATGTGGGGTCATACACAAATTGTAATCGGTAGGCATCGGTAGGCATTGTAATCCCAATACCAAGATTTGCAGCACCTTGGGTATTAAACAGTACAGAATTTGAAATATCATTAGGCCTATGTACAAAAACTCAGAACTTTCTGTAGTAGACCGGGGCCGGACCTCGGGATTAACTTTACACTGTTTCAGACCAGTGGGTTCTAGACCACTCCCAAAGAAGGAACGCCCCGATCTGCCTCTAGTCACCCCGAGGTAAAGACACTTCGGGTCAGTGCCACTGCTGTAGCTTGCCACAAGCAGCTCAGTGTAGCTCGCCGCAGGCAGCTCGGTGTAATTCGCCGCAAGCAGTTCACCACTTGCAGGGTAGCTCACAAAAGAGCGGTTCGACATATCACAGGAAGATCTCCTGCCTGACAACTATACCCAACAAACCTGGAGACTGCGATCACGTCTTTTGTTTGACAGTGTCGTGTCCGCCACCTCTGGAAGATGTCTTACATCTGACAAGTACATACCCTGCAACGATGGCCCTGCACGTGCCACCTCAGCGTTGGCTATAACGGCTACAACAGGACGACAGTGACGGTTATACCTGCCCCGACAGAAGCAGGTGGGCCTGATTCAACAGAGTTCTGTTATACCTGCCCCGACTCGCCAGGTTTGCGTCACCCCAGCAATCGAAGTTCGAGGCCCCACTTCTAGAGAACCAGTTCGAGATCCTAGCTGCAAACCCTAAGCAGAACCCCTCTGTTCGCAGCCATCACCAGCAGCCCGAGTTGCTTCCTGCGCAAACTATCCCTGATAGTACGGAGGTAAGCAGCACCAACGCGGAGCCCGCCAAGAAGCAAAGACATCGCCGCCGAGCTTGCCGAACCGCCACCCACAACCTGCCCGAACTCAGAGGCAGGGAAGAGGTAAGCTCGGGTGAAGTAAAAGCTCCCCTCCTTTCTGTTTCATCCCCCGTGTCTCCTGAGCTCCTGGCTGTTCCAATGCCCAAGGACTTCAAGCTCCCCCCTCTCGATAAATACGACGGGTCGTTCGACCTGAATGATCATGTAGATGCTTTCCAGTCACAGATGCACCTGGTGAGGGCCAGTGAGTCTTGCATGTGTGTGGCCTTCTCCACCACTTTCAGAGGAGTGGCCCGCACATGGTATCGAAACCTTGCACCCGAATCGATAAGAAGTTGGGCACAGTTCGCGCAAGCCTTCACGTCCCACTTTGTCACCAGCAAGCGGTGCCCGCGAACTAAGGAAAGCCTTCTCAGCATAGTCTAGAGAGAGGGAGAGTCCATATGGGGCTATATCAAGCGGTTCAATGATGCATGCATGCATGCAGATACCGCGCCTAGACCTCGCAATGCGCCTTGCAGCAGCCAAGAAGGGCGTGACGCACAAGGAATTCAAGTGGCACATGGTTGTCAACCAGCCGACGACCATAACTGAATTCCTCAAGCTCGTAGACAGGTTCATAGCCATGGAAGAGGAGATCAACCAGAAGGGCGAGGGCGCGCCCGAGAAGAGAAAGAGAGAAGGAGAACTTTCCAGCCAAGGAGACAACCGAAAGAAGAAGGACTTAGCTCGGGGGGCCAAACCTGGTCAGCCATTTCAAGCCCCTGTAGCGGACCGAACTGACTACACCCCACTGAATGCTAAGCGGGCCGAAATCCTGATGGCAATCAAGGATGCCCCGTACGTGAAGTGGCCACCCCGCCTAAGGGGGAATCCTAATGAGAGGAATAAAAATTTATATTGTAGCTTTCACAGAGACCACGGTCATAGTACCGAGAACTGTAAGAATCTCCGCGACGAGATAGAGGAACTTGTTCGTCGCGGATATCTGTGGAATTTTGTACATAATAATAATAATAATAATAATAATAATAATAATAATAATAATAATAATAATAATAATAATAAAGTAGATCAACAAGGGGAGCACGGTAAGGATGTTCCCGAGTCCAGCAACAGGTCGGCAGAGCAGTCACAGAGGCAGCCCCCGGAAGAGAGGCCAGTTCGGGGCACCATCCACATGATAGTTGGAGGCTCGATCGTTACCGGCTGTACCTCGGCGGCAGCTCAGACATCAGTTCGTGAAGCTGCCAGAGAAGAGCATAATCCTCCGAAGCGGCCGAAGATAGAGGAACCAATCTTCTTCACGGAGGACGATGCGCGCGGGGTCCATTACCCCCACAACAATGCGCTCGTCATAAAAGTAAGGATCAATGATTTTGAGGTCAGGCGCGACCTCGTTGACTCAGGTAGCTCGGCAGATATCCTCTTCAAAGCCGCATTCGACCAGCTTCAGTTGTAGGGGAGTGACTTGAGGCCCGCGAATACTCCCCTGGTAGGCTTCAGCGGAGAAGAAGTCAGGCCCCTTGGGAAAATAACAGTACCTGTGGAAGTTGGCGCATGGCCCAGCGTAGTAAGGCTCAACCATGACTTCTTAGTGGTCGCGACCCCCTCCCCGTACAATGCCATAATAGGTCGGCCGATCACCCATGCCCTATGGGCGGTGGTTTCCACTTATTATTTAGCAATGAAGTTCCCTACAGACTTCGGAGTGGGGGTAGCGCAGGGCGACCGACTCGAGTCTCACAAGTGCTATGTTGCCGCCCTCAAGGGAAAGACCAAGGTGGCTGACAATCTCGAACTGCACCCACGGAAGAAACAGTTATTATTCCAGCTTCAGCGGAAGTCCCAGCTCGGACACTTCAGATCAAAGTTTCAGTAAAGAAAGCCCCTGTGATCTGAACTAATAAGTTTCCTACTTCAAAATTTAGATGTTTTTGCATGGTCTGCGGCAGAGATGCCCGACATAGACCCTAATCTCATAACTCACAAACTCAATATTGATCCTGTAGTCAGGCCCGTTAGATAGAAGAAACGCAGCCTAGCCCCAGAGCGATGGAAAGCAGTCGACGAGGAGGTCGGGAAGCTCCTCGCAGCCGACTTCATAAGAGAAGTCCATTACCCGAGCTGGGTAGCCAACCCCGTTCTGGTAAAGAAGGCTAACGGCAAGTGGTGCATGTGCGTCGACTACACCGCCCTGAATAGAGCCTGCCCAAAAGACTGCTTCCCCCTCCCCAGAATCGATCGCCTAGTGGACGCGACCTCGGGGCATGAGTTGTTAAGTTTCTTAGACGCCTATTCAGGCTATAACCAGATCAGGATGGACCTGACGGACGAAGAAAAAACTGCCTTCATAACAGAGTTTGGTCTGTATTGTTACAAGGTTATGCCCTTCGGATTGAAAAATGCGGGGGCAACCTTTCAAAGGCTTGTAAATAAACTATTTGAGCCATTAATTGGCAAAAAAATAGAGTGTTATGTAGACGACATGGTCGTCAAAACCCAATTCTCACATGAATTAATACAAGACTTACATTCTGTCTTTCAAATTCTGCGACAATTTAACATGAAGTTAAATCCAAACAAGTGTGTCTTTGGTGTTACCTCGGGTAATTTCCTAGGGTACATCGTCAACCGACGCGGCATTGAGGCCAACCCGGATAAAATTAAGGCCATCCTAGATATGAGGCCACCCTGAAAGTTGAAAGAGGTTCAAAGGTTGAATGGCTGCATAGCTGTCCTGAGCCGCTTTATGTCCAAGTCAGCGGACCGCTGTCTGCCTTTCTTTAAGGCAATCAAAAGCAAAGGGTTCGAGTGGACCCAAGACTGTCAGCTCGTGTTTGACGAGCTCAAGAAATATCTCGCTAGTGTACCCATCTTAACTCGACCCGAAGAGGGAGATGTATTAGAGTTGTACCTCTTGGCAAGTGACGAAGTGGTTAGCTCGGTACTGATAAAGGAAGTAGATCGGGTCCAATGACCCATCTACTACGTTAGTAAAGTATTGCAGGGAGCAGAGACGAGATATCCAGAGATAGAGAAGCTAGCCTACGCGCTGGTCATCGCAGCTCGAAAGCTCCGCCCGTACTTCCAAGCTCATACTGTTATCGTCTTCACCGACAAACCTTTGAGGCAAGTCTTACTTAAGCCCGAGGTCTCTGGTCGACTGACAAAGTTGGTCGTTGATCTCAGCGAGTACGACCTCCAATACAAGCCGCGAACTACTATTAAGGCCCAAGCCTTAGCAGATTTCATTGTGGAGTGCACTTTCAGCTCCAAAGTCCCTAGGTCGGTTGAGCACGAGGCCCCCGGTTCGGGTGAGCCCAGAGCTCCCAGGCCAGTTGAGTTCGAGCCCTGTGAGACAGTAGCCAGCGTGACATCTCTCCTAGTTAGGCCAAGCGCGAACTGGGATGAGGAGCTTTTGATCCTTCATGTAAATGGCTCTTCGAACCAGCAGGGCAGCGGAGCCGAAATAGTTCTGCACGGCCCAAGTGGCACGAAATTGGAGTACGCACTACGCTTCAAATTCGTGGCATCCAACAACGAAGCGGAGTACGAAGTGTTGATAGCTAGACTAGCTTTAGCCAAAGAAGTAAAAGCCAAGCATATCGTCATCTACAGCGATTCTCAGCTCGTGGTCAACCAAGTCACAGGAGATTACGAATCTCGTGAACCAACCATGATTGCCTACTTAGCCAAAGTAAGAGAGGTTCTGCTCAACTTCCAGTCACACTTCATCGGGCAAATCCCGAGGTTGGAGAACGCTGAGGCCGACGCTCTGTCCCGGTTAGCTAGCACCAACGATATTACCATGAGAACCGTGTACATAGAAGGGTAGAGTCGTGCTGGATTGACCCGCTCGCGAGCTACTTTCTACACGGGACCCTCCCTGCAGATCGCAATGCGGCTAGAAGGGTAGAGCG